AGTTATTGTCTTAGATAAGTCATAAGATGTTGATCAAAAAGATATTTCTTCACTAAATGAAGTGTCTATGTATTAATGATTAATACCGTATCCATTTCCTATTTCATTTAGACAATATATTTATGCTAAATGGTAAAAAAATAGTTTTTATGATAGTAAATAGTATTTACATTTAGTATTTACATAGTATTTACATTTGAACATTCATTTAAAACATAATAATTAAAAATCTCTTCATGCTAAGAAACTAAAGCAGATTTTTTAATTTAGACAGGAAGCCACTTCTTCTGTAGAAGACTAAAATAACTGAACTTGTTACCTGGTTCTAATCTGTCAGAATGTATTAATACTGAATAGATTTTCAGTATGGTTTTTATGGTCTTGAAAAATACAAGATGGCTGCTGTTGAGGGTTGTCTGAAATCCTGAAATTGTTGTGGCTTAAGAAACAAAGGGGAGTGAATCATGTGTTGGGTTGGTATTGTTAATAGCATTTTGAGTAACAGGACTTCTCAAATGAACATGTTTTCTACTGTGAGCTATTGAAGGGGTGGGAAAGCTGAAAATGATGTGGAGGAATAATCCATTAATTTGCACTGCTGTTTCAGCTGATGGTGTTGCATTGGGTGCAGCAGCTTCTACTTCTCAGACTAGTGTCCAGTTGATAGTGTTTGTTGCAATTATGTTGCACAAGGTAAGTCATCATCTAAAAAATCTTGTTTGTTCTTTAAAAGACTCTGAAAGCATACAGAAATTACTGAAGAGCTTAAGTTTTCTTGGCGATATAATCTGGAAATGTGTAATGCCATTGAAGTGACCAGATTAGTAGTATAGCTTCAAGGACCAAAAAGCACTGGTATGATGTATGACAGAATAGCAAATGATGGATGCCAAGTCTGAATGGGGTATGAATGAGGGTTTGGACTGCCTACTGCCTACCTTGGTTGGGAAAAGTCTCCCAAAAGTAGGGAGAGAAGAATAGCTCATGACGAAATGCGGCAGCTTCACACTCTCTTTTTCTGAAGCTAGTGGGGGGGTGGTATGTTTTTTAAAAAAAGAAACCAACTAAAAAACAAACAATGAAAACCACCAAGATTCTTACTGCTGTAAGAAGTGTGTTCAGAGAGGTTCTAGACAGTGAAGCACAGAAGTATAAGCTAGTGTACCCAAGGAGGAAAAGCAGTTTTATGCTGATTACAGCAGCTTTTTGGTTCTGTGATGTTCTCAAGAAAATGGTATTTGTTATGAAGCGTTTTAGTGTTTAAAGGGTTAGGTTTTTGAAACTACTTAGTAACAGAGTACTAAATTACAATTTCTGGTTACCTCTGTTATTGTAGTAGCTTCAACATCAGTCATATGCCATTTCTGCAGGAAAAAAATGTAAATGTTTTTCTGACGGTAACAGGCAAATAATGGCTCTTGAAGATGGGAAGATCTTTTTTCCTTAATGTTTGTGCAAAGATATCTATTAACTATATAAGTTCTAAACATATGTGTGTAGATGCAAGTTTGACTTATGGTAGCACATGCATATATTACAGTAACTAGTCATACATTCATCCAAAATCTTGCTTGCATAATTGCATGTTCAAAATGTTAGGAAATCCAGATCTAATACATCTTTTCTTCACTGTTCATACAATAAATTGTGGTTTACACAACCCTCTTCAAAGGTGGCAATGTCAATGTTACATCTTGCTGTGAAGTTTAGTTTATGTCTATTGCCAAATGAAACTTGCTTTTTAATTATTGTTAATGCTCAAATTAACTGAATTCTGAAATTGTGCAATTTTAGAAGAGGAAAATTTCTCCTGTGAGAGATTATCAAGAAATATTTGGTATTGAAAGAGAAATTTATTTCTTCTCTGGTGTCTTTTTTTTATTTTTTCTAGTCTTCTGATCCTTATTGGTGCTTTTTTCTTTCTCATCTTTTTTCCTTCACTCATGGTTTCCATCTTCTAGGTTTAAAAAAAAAGGAAAAAAGGATTTTGTGTTTAAAAAATACTCAGTATATTTTAGTTTTTCTTATCTCAGAAATGTCAGGGCGGACTGCTATTGTCTTTATGTGAGCAAAAATATAGTAAATTCTGAGTAGTAGGACAGCTATGCCTTGTGGATAAGAAACTGGATGCCAGCAGAGGGAGAAGAAGGAAGTTATTTGTTTGCTTCCCAGTGGGAACAGAAATGAAACTGAATGATGAACTAATCAAAAGAGCTTTTAAGTCTTTGTTCATGTGCAGTTATCTTCGGGAATTTTTTCCCCCCTCTATGTTAATTATAGACTTTTTCTGCTGTAGATAAAGAAACTGTGCATCTAAGGGTGCTTAGTAGTATCAGGACGAATACATAAGTTAACGGAGACTTAATTATTATAGCAGTGACTCAAGTCAGAACGAACATTTTAATATTTATAATGACTACACAAATATTTGTACTCTGATAGCCAGAACATGGGTTTCCATTAGGTACTGTTGTTAAGGTAGGGCAGTCTGCAGAATGCTATCGATTTGGGTTAACTGCAACATACCAGTGCTCTCCCTGAATTTCTTCCAGTTCAATGCATTTTGATGTAGTAAGTAGTGTTTCAACTTTATCTCAGATTTCAGGGGATTTTAGAAGATATTGTATTACCAGTGAATATTGGTTTTTTTGCAGGCACCAGCTGCCTTTGGCCTGGTTTCCTTCCTGATGCACGCTGGGCTGGAACGGAATCGAATTAGAAAACACTTGCTGGTCTTTGCATTGGCAGCACCTGTTATGTCCATGGTGACATACTTAGGGCTAAGCAAGGTAGGTCTGTGATTTTGTTTTGTTGAAAACGTAGCCTAGTGATGGAGTTTGGGGAAAGCAGTGTCATAGGGGGTTCATAAAACATAATTCCAAACGGCTTGAAAAATTTAGCAGAATGGAGATTTTAAAAAAAAAAAAAGTGGATAAAGAGGTAGCAATATAAATGTGTGAAACAAAAAAACCCCCATGCTTTCCGTCAGAACGAGTGATATAACTCCTCTATAGAGTTTTATATAGCTTTTTTTAGAAGGCTGATTTCTGTCTCTTCTCCTTTCTGCTGCTGCCTGCTGAGAACTTAGTCTGGTACATGAGTAAATTGTTATCTAATAACTATATAACTGAGTAATTTTCAGTGTTGCTGCATGCATTCTTATTTTAATAATGCAGATAGAAGATAATTTTTACTAGTTTCCCCCACTATCCCAGGATTGGTCCTATATGTTCAAAATCTTTATGGCATTATGGTGTTGTGTTGTATAGAATCTAATGTGACCTCATGAAACTCAAGGCATGAGAGGAAAGATTAAGTAAATCATCTGGGCTAATCCCTTTACTTGCCAGAAAGGAGTTATATTTGCAGTACAGGAGACAGCAGAAGGGGTTTGGTTTGTAAATAGAAATGAGAATGCTGTTTGAACGCCTTTTTGATGTAGGCTCACTAAGAGTTGGTTTTGCATTTTGCACTTCAGAAAGAACAGAGAATTGATAAGGCATAAGGGCTGTCACAGTGGTTGTATAGTTCCAGAGCAGAAGTATCTCTGCTCTTTGGAACAATAACCTGAGGGTATGCCAGACAACTAACATAACACCTGAGTTGGAAATTGTTCAAGAAGCATTTTGAAACTGATATGAGTGGATTTGCATTTCATTACATTTAATGATGAGTAGCATGATCTTAATCCTAGTATGAATGTGAAGAGGTGCTCAGTTTTGATCGAGGAGGTGTATTTCTTTATGAAATTTGCATGAAAATTCTGGAAACGTTTTGGGTGTTAACTTGTTCGTACAAATGAAATATTGAGAGTGTGATGATTTGGGACTTAAATCTAGAAAAATCTTGCTCTGAGCAGCAGGGGACCAGATATTTAACGGTGAACATCTTACTTGAACTCTTTGTTTAGAAAAAGCGCGGGGTGGGGGGGGGGGTGAGTCAGTCTTGAGTGTCCTTCCTAGAATTTGTGGCTTTGCAATCTGAATTTTTTTTAAGCATGTTTTGTAATTTTGACATTTTGTATGTTGCTGTGAGATGGTCAAACAAGATGCTTCTGCACCGACTGTGACCTTTTTCTTCTGTAAGGGTTTGTAGAAGTCTGAAGTGAGCTAACTAGGATGAGAGGGTCTTTCTGCCTCTCACATCAACTTTAGAATGCCAGTAGTTACATGTAAGGTGCAAGACACAAACCAACACATTAAACCATTGTCATTGTGAGAGTATGAGAGTTGACAGAAATCCTACTGTGTCTGGACACTTAGAGAATTTTTTAATTACTGACTGAAGAAATTCTGCTTATCCTCATTTTTTTTTCTCTTTCCATTTTTTTTCCATTTCAGAGCAGCAAAGAAGCCCTTTCAGAAGTCAATGCCACCGGAGTTGCTATGCTGTTTTCTGCTGGGACTTTTCTTTACGTTGCCACAGTTCACGTTCTCCCAGAAGTAGGAGGAATTGCTCATAGCCACAAACCTGAATCAACTGGAGGAAAAGGACTCAGTCGTCTGGAGGTGGCAGCCCTAGTATTAGGATGCCTTATCCCTCTAGTTTTGTCCATTGGACACCATCACTAAACGCTCGAATTTCACTGTTCTCCTCAATCTGAGCAGTAAATGTCGGCTGCTCCTTTTATTATTGTCTCTTACCCATCATCCATCCCATCCACTTTATGGAGTTCAGAGGGAATGTTGATTGCAAAATAAGGAATACTGGGAAAGTTTTTAGTGTAGCGAAATGTACTTTGGCAGCCGGACATAAATTCTATGTAACTTTCTTTTCTGAAGACATTTCCTATTTTACTTGTTACTTCTGGCCCTATTCTCAGGGAAGATGGAATTTGGAGTTTAAGAAACATGAGCAGGGAAGAATGTAGTGACTCATCATGAAATTGCAATCACCAAAGTATCCTGCAATTCGGCTTTCATAGCTGAGAGCAAAAACAAAGGATGGCTGCCTTGTGCGAGGTTGAAGTTTTTCTAATGAAGAAGGGGGTTCTCCCCCATCGGTTCTATGTTGTCCTGACAACGCAACTGGTCCTTGTCATGTTTGTCATTAATTGTGTTGCAAAAATGGGCTACACTTGGAATTCTGGACAGCACTGCTACTGTCACAGAAGTGTCACTGATACAAAAGAAATGATGTAGGATTAGAGTAGAAAATCAGATGGTTAAGAAAGTGCAAATGAATTTTGCAGTGTATTCCATTATTTAAGACAAAGGATAGAAGCAAGGAGACTATTGATTGTTTAAGCAATTGTTAATCAATTTTAAAAAGGCAGTATTTCTTGGGAGATGGTCTTCTGCCAAGTCAGTAAAGCATAGGCACCAAAAATCTAAGCAGGAATTAGGTATTGGGTACTGTGATTACACTACTGCTGCTGTTGAGGGAGATATCCATAGTGCCCTTTGAAATGGAGCTGTTCTGGGTTCTGAGGAGTAGAAATGTGATGGAGACAGCTGTTGAGGGACCAGAAAACTTAAGTAGCTCATTTTCAAAAGTCTGAACTGCTGCAGTTGGTAGGGGAGGGGGGGGGGTTGGTTAAGTAAAAGGTATTAAGGCTAACAAAACAAGATGTTTAGTTAAATATTTATGCCCCAGATAGAGTACAAGGTGTTTCTAAAGCAGTTCTAAACAAAAAACACCGAACAAACAAAAAACCAAACTGGTGGGTTCCCAGCAGACCTGTTTGGCATTTTGCTTTTTCTTTGGGAATTATGCATTTGCCTCTTACTGATAAGCATTAGTTTTGTGAATCTAGTGGAGGACTTATTGCCAACTGCTGATGCCTCTCACTGCAGAAGAGTAATAAAAGATCCTTCCTTTTCCAAGGCACAGCCTTCTCTTGTCAAGCACCATTTCTCTTACGCAAAATATATTATACTTTAATAACTGTAGTGCATTGAAAACAGGAATGCTTGACATGCACAGACTCAAAATTCTTTCTTTAGGGGAAAACTTTTTAATGCCGTACTCTATTTAAGATATGCTCTGTCTGCACTTTTTAAAGATGACATTGCCAAATATATTTTTCTTTTGATTTTTTTTTAAATGGATTTTCAAGGCTTGAAATATCTTCTTAATTGAAGTGCTTCTTGTTTCCATTTGAATGAGTGTGTCTGTTTTTCATTACATTTATTGCTTATACTACACGGGCCATTGTGCCTCTTAACTTCTTTATATTTTTGTCATTGTCCTGTTTGTCTACTAGTTCAGTAACAGGTATGGCCTGGCTTTTGGGCTAGTGGTTGCTTTGTCCATTGACTTTGTAACAATACAGGTGTATCCTAGGATTGAATGTTGTATTGATCCCCAGGAGTACTTGTTCATTTGTGTGTTTTACTATATAAAATCAGTGCAGAATTATTAGGAATCATCTTTTCCCACAAAACAGTATTTTCGGATAGAATTAGTATATCAGGCCTAAACAGGCATTTTTTTTACACTAGACCTTCAAAAATTAGTTCTGTTCTGAAAAGCCACTGCAAAATTAGTGACATGGATGAGATCCTGTCCTACATATTCTTAAACCTTTTTTCTTTTTTTACAACATACATATGCAACTAGTAAGTTACCTCTTTAAAAAATTCAGTGATACAGGTTACTGACACATGTGAATGATACACAGGGATGTTTACACCAGAACTCCCAGTGTTCTTCGTTATTGCCCCCTAATTACCTTCTTCCTTAATAATCTCAGTATTTTACTTTGCTTAATTTTTCCACATAACTGAACTGTTTCCAAAAGCTGGAGAGTTTGCAAGATCTGCAGCAGAAGCAGGAGATAGCTTAGTGCAGCATCAGATGCTTACATTTTGTAGAACAGTAGGTGTTTTTTTCTTTAAACTGTCATCTATCACTTTGCACGTGCACCCTGCCCCACTCGTTAAGCTGGCATCCTGACTGTGTTCCCCTTTAGCCTCATTTTGTGTATCACAATAGCAATGATTTAGGGAGGTATGTAGGTAAGGTCCCATTTCATGCTTTTTGTTCCACTGTTGGAGCATGTGGATAGTACCTTACACGGATGTGTATCGATGAGGATGTGACAGCCAGCCTTTTCACGGCATATTAATCATAAGAGGTGCCACTCCTGAGAGGTCTTGTCTGTCTTTTCTCCTGTCCCTCGGCTTGTTTCCAATTTCTGGGGCAGCCACCAGAAATGGTGGTGCTCAGTTTAATGATTCATGAACTATAGAGGCCAAGTTATAGCAGCAGGTGAGGGATTTTAAATTAAACATTGGCAACTTAAAATTGGCACAAAAATTCTGATAACATGTACTTTTCATTTTGGCATTTGGTTAAGTGATAGAAGACTTCTGTAATTCCCTCCCCC